TAATACAGCCCAAGCAGCCTGGGCATAGTCACGGTTGTCACCATAGTAGCACAGAACATTGTTGGGATCATGCTGGCCCACAGCAATTCGAAAATGGTGTGAAGCAGTATAAACAAGAAGCATGGGGTGGAGACAGTGGATTTATGGGATTTTTTAAAATGTAAACCCATGTAGCTTCCCATAATTCACAGCAACAACAATAACAGGATGCATGCCACTCAGAGATGAAGCAAAGGATCCTGGGATACCCCTAGAGAATGCTATCCTCTCAATTTAAGAGCATAAGAATGGTCATACTGGGATCAATGTTCCATCTAGCCCAGTATCCTGTCTTCCAACAGTGGCCAAGGCCAGGTGCTTCAGAGGGAATGAACAGAACAGGTAATCATCAAGTGATCCATCCCGTCACCCATTCCCAGCTTCTGGCAAACAGAGGCTAGAGACACTTCCGAGCATGGTTTTGCATCCCTGCCCATCCTGGCTAATAGCCATTGATGAACCTATCCTCCATTAAGTTATCAAATTATTTTTTGAACCCTGTTATAGTCTTGGCCTTCACAACATCCTCTGGTAAAGAGTTCCACAGGTTGTGCATTGCATGAAGAAATACTTCCTTTTGTTTGTTTTAAATCTGCTGCCTATTAATTTCATTTGCTGACCCCTAGTTCTTGTGTTATGAGAAGGAGTAAATAACATTTCCTTATTTACTTTCTCTACAGCTGTCACGATTTTATAGACTTCTATCATATCCTCCCTGAGTTGTCTCATTTTCAAGCTGAAAAGTCCCAATCCTATTAATCTCTCTTCATATGGAAGCTGTTCCATGCGCCTAATAATTTTTGTTGCCCTTTTCGGTACATTTTCCAATTCTAATGTATCTCTTTTGAGATGGACAACCAGACCTGCACACAGTATTCAAGGTGTGGGCATACCATGGATTTATATAGAGGCAATAGGATATTTTCTGTCTTATTATCTATCCCTTTATTAATGATTTCCAACATTGTTAGATTTTTTGACTGCTGCTGCATATTGAGTGGATGTTTTCAGAGAACTATCCACAACGACTCAAAGATCTCTTTCTTGAGTGGTAACAATCATTTTAGACCCCCTCATCAAGCCTGAGAATTTGTCACAGAGGTCCTGGAAGTCACGGATTCTATGACTTCTGCAGCGGCCGGTGCGCCTGGCTCAGGAGCAGCTCAGGCAGCCATTGTGCCAGTCGCACTGGCCGCTGCTGCAACAGACTCGGGCCACCGTGCCCCCGCCTCCCCCCGGCCCAGCAGCAGCAGCGTTTGGGTGTGGGAGGGGGCAGGGGTCTGCGGCACCGGATGGGGTGAGGCAGACTCTGGGCGGTGCTTACCTGGGGGGCTCCCCGGAAGCGGCAACATCCCCCTTGCTCAGCTCCTAGGCAGGTGGGCCAGGCAGCTCTGTGCGCTGCCTCCACCTGCAGGCACTGCCCCCACAGCTCCCATTGACTGCGGTTCCTGGCCAATAGGAGCTGCGAAGCCAGCGCTCTGGGCAGAGGCAGTGTGCAGAGACATTAGAGATTAGAGACATGCTTTGGAAAAAGAAACATATTTGATCTTAAAACTATTAAATACATGTACAAATTCACCAAGTCCTGTAGATGCTGTAGAGATGATACAGGATTATGACTGGGAGGGAATGTACTCAACAACATGATCACTTTCTTAAGAAGCGGTCTTCACTTTGAAAGTGGTTGAGAATCCTTGCTCCTTGGATTGTTTCAGAATTTTAAGTGTTTGCAGAGCAGAATTAATTTACAGTAATTCTTAAAGATTTAAGACCAAAATCTTTGAACAGTAAATAACACTGGAGAGCTGTTGAGGTTAGAGTAACACTCACATTTAACACAAACTTTACAGCTACTGCTGTGGTAAAGTGAATTTAAGCTATTGTACTTCACAGACAAAAAAGCAACAACTCAGGCTCAACCACTCTCCTTAAGGAACTAGTGCTTACTAAAAGATAATAAAACCAAAAATGAAAAAAAACAGCCAAAAGCAGAGAGTGAAATCATTATTTGTGAGCAATTTTTTTCACTTGTTCAACGAAAACTCATTCTATTTTATTGCTACCGCTAGTGGAACTGGCTGACTAATATTAAAAAAGTTGAAAGTAGACAAATTCAGATTAGAAATAAGGTGTAATTATCACTGGAACAACTGACCACTGGTAACAGTGGATTCTCCTTCACTCACAATTTTAAAATCAAGATTGGATGCTTTTCTAAAAAATATGCTCTAGGAATTATTTTGGGGAAGTTCTATGGCCTGTGTTATACAGGAGGTCAGACTAGATGATCACGATGGTCCTTTCCAGCCTTGGAATCTATAACCCTAATCTGTCCCTAGACCATGAGTCTCAGAGTATGGACTCCTCTTCCTTGAAAATCTAGACAGTGCCTAGCCCTCACATGTATAGGGCACTATCATAAACAAATAATAAATAACAGAAAAAAATGGCAGTGAAGTCTCTTAAGGGTGAAATTCACCCGTCAGAGGTTATGTACAGAGACTGATTAAATGGCTAATAGATTCAATTTTAGAAACTATGAATTTGGCCTGTATTTATTATTGGCTTTAAAAGGAGTAATTTATAACACAAGTACTTTGTAGTTCTTCAATGCTATACACTGATACTTTTATGCTGATGCTACACATCTTTGGAAATTACTGTTTCTAGGTGATTCTTATGCACTTCACTGGCATGTATTACATTGTGTTAATCTATTATATTGCATTGTATCTGCCAGGATTAGCAATAAAAAGAACCAAAAAGGTCCATAGAAACAAGATGCTCTAAACATAGAGAGCTCTGTGCAGCTGGAGTGGGTAGGGTATAAAAGGTGTTTACACCACTTTTCCACCCCATAACTCAATCCTGGGGGCAGCCAGGGGCTGGTTCGGTCTTCGTGAAGGTTAGAGCAACACAGAGCTCCATCTAACCTACACTGGCAGGAACAGTTTCTGAGGACTATTTTGTTGGCCCATGATAGCTGGAGCAACACAAAAGGGACTTGGGCTGGGACAAAGATCTAGCCCAACTTTTCTCTGAGTCTTCCCAGTGTTATCAGTACCCCTTATCAAGGGTCTTTCTACTAAGTAGCATATTGGACTGAAGTTGTGCAGTCAGGCCACGTGATCTATACGGCAGAGTTGCACTGAATCTGGTGACCAGCTAGAAATAAGGAGATTTTAACTGATTACTAAATCATTTGGTAATCTGTGATTTTACTGAAATACTTTAAAAAAAAAGTCATCCCAAATAAAAATAAAAATGAATGTCATTGCCTTGCATTGCAGAAAAGAAGTCCCATTCCTGCAGGGCTTAGTGGTCCCCAAGAACAGGGAGACTCTGAAGAACTGTCTTGAGGAAGATGGAGGAGGCTTGCAAGAAGAAGTGGCTGCCATTTAGGTATCTTCAGCTCCACTTCTATACGATAAAGAGCTGCCTGACAGCTGCCTTCCTCTGTGGCTTAGGTGCTCTGGTTGGCACCTTCAGTTCTTACTTCCAACTACATCTGAGAAAAGGGTAACTGTGAAGGCCTTTTTCAGTCTTAGTGCTGCCCTCTGTATTGGACAGATTTTTCTCTCTTCTTCCCACTCTGTCCTTTTAAGGACAACAGTGTACAAAGCCACTGACAAACAAAGTAACACAGCTATGGAAATTAATGACAAAGGGTGGGTGGGCAAGATGAGGAGCTAGAAGTGGCAGGATAATTTTTGTGGTCTTATATTGTGCAGAGATTTGTGTGTCATGCTGGTGAAAAGGTAAATTGTGTGACCATTTGCTCAGCAGCATAATTACATTATATACAGTGTCTGACTATTGTGTAGAGATAGGCTCAAGCCCAAACCCTATATCGGCAAACCCACCCACTTGCTGTTTGGTTCCTTTCTATAATGGAGTAATGTAGTCTGGAAACTAACGATCCAATCAAGCACTTGGAGAGAATGAGAGAAACTATAAAAATTGCTAACTTGTAAGCTGGCGGAAGGAGAAGAGGAGGACAAGGGGCCCCCTGCAGTCCCCACCTTGCTCTGAGGACGCAGAGCTTCACATCCTGTTGTCAGGAGGCTGGGTTACAGCCTGAGTTAGCCTTCCTCTGTCAGACTCTATGACAGACTCTATGTTTAGGTAACCCTTTCTTCTGCTTCTTCCATTATAGTTATGTACTAAGGCTCACGAACAAAACAAAGGGAAAAATCATGCTTGTTGAGAGGTCTGTTATATTCACTGTCCCATTTCACTGGAGTTTACGCAGCTAAACCAATACCCTGGGACAGAACATCCCTAATCTCTAGGGAAGTTTACATCTGGTTCCCAGAGCAATCTCCTATTATGTTTTAGACTAGATTTTTTTGGTTATGAATGAGCATATACCTTGCATCACTTTTGCAGATGCTTCTTTTTTTCAAAAATTTTCTTAAAAAATAAAAATAAAACAACACACTCATTTAATACTGTAGCTCTGCTAAACACAGCCCAGATTTAAAGCTTGACTTTGCCTGTTGATGCTTAAATTAACAGAATCATTCAGGAAATCATTCCCACGCAAAATTAATTTTAATCATTCAAAATTAGTTTTGGTCACACTTCACAAGTAAGGAATAAAAAAATAAAAAAACAAAAAACCCAAAAATCGAAGCTTGATATATTTCCCTGAAGGATAGCACACTTCATTTCAGCTGTTTAACTACGTGGAAAATTAAGGCAACTTAAAATGCTCGAATGAAGTTCCTATCAATAACTAATTTAATAAAGACAAACTAATACAATATCTGTATGTGCTTCTAGCGAAAAAGGTAGGAACAATTTATTGATAAAATGAAGTAATGCAAAGTACATAAATTGCTTCTGCTTTTGGCACTGAGATTATAAATCTTTTTCATAGGCAATTTAGGTGTGATTAACATTTAAGCACAAAGATTGGTTCCATAAGAACTATATTACATTTATAGAGTTATCCTTACCAGTTTTTCTGGTGGAGCTCTTCCTTATAGAACAGAAGATGTTGAAGCACTTCATCTAGTCGAGAAGAGTTGTTGTGTACACAAACCCAAACAACAAGACTATGCCAAAGAAAGTGCTGAATCATATTTTCTTTTTGTTCAAGCTTTAATTGAACTGATGGGTCAGAATCCAAGAAGGACTAAGAAAAAAATTAAGTGAATTTCATAGATAAGATCTCTTGAATGCAAAGTTAGTCTTTGGTTTTCTACTCAGACTTGTCTTAGAATTGTACTCAGCACAACACTTGCTCAGCATTCTAGTTTCATACAAAATACAATGCTACAAATGCCTCTAATATATTCCGCACAATGGGACCAAAAAAATCTCAGAATCCAGTCAACAGAAGATGTGCTATTATTGTTTCTCTGGGGCTTTTATGTATTATGAAGTGCTCACTACCCAAAGTTGTCGCTTCTGAAGTAATTAAAATTAGTGGCCCTGCCTATGCTGTTACATTTAAGCTTGCGTTTGAGCCAGCATTAACAGTATAAACCAGTTTTATTAAGATTTCACTTCAGACTGAGATTAGCTTTATGAAAACAAAGCTTCAGCCTTCTGGGACTATTAACAAAAAGTAGAATTGCTGTAGTTTGTCTGTGAGGTTAAATAACACAGGTTATTCATCAATAATGTGGACTGGAACACTTTGGGTATCCTGGAAAACATTTAAGTGGCCAACGTCCTAACTCTGGAATCTGATTTGCGTAGTCAGAGCCCCACGTTCAAGCACAGTCCCACTGACTCCAATAGGACTCTGTGGTAAATGTCAATCTCTACTTGTATTTATCAGGGCAGGTCTACACTACCCGCCTGAATCGGCGGGTAGAAATCGATCTCTCGGGGATCGAATTATCGCGTCTCGTCGGGAGGCGACAATCGATCCCTGAATCGATGCTTGTACTCCACCAGTGGAGGTAGGCGTAAGCGCCGTCGACGGGGAAGCCGCGGAGGTCAATTTGCCGCCGTCCTCACAGCAGGGTAAGTCGGCTCCGATACGTCGAATTCAGCTACGCTATTCGCGTAGCTGAATTTGCGTATCTTAAATCAACCCCTCCCCCCCCCATAGTGAGGACGTAGCCTCAGATTGCAAGATCAGGACCAACATTATTTTGTTTACAAGTTGGAGTTCTGTTTAGAATAAGAACCATTTTTAAAAGGTTATAATTTTTTAAACACTGACTTTAGGCAGCAAACCTGTATCAGGATCTGCTAATGCAGAGCCCTATGCCACCGGGGAGTCCTTGTGACTTTGAGGGACTCCACATGAGTGTCAGAATCTTGATGTAGGATTTGTAATAATTCATTAATTAGACTGGATCAAATTAACATGATCAATGCATGAAAAATTTACATGACCAAATGCTAAGCTTCTAAGCCCATTAAAAACTGTTATAGTCTAGTGATGGGGAAAAAAATCTATTTTTGAGAAATTACTAAATTCATATAGATTGTTGATTAGTTGCCCTGTGGGCTAAATGATGTATATTATAGGAACACAGGAACTGCCATAGGTAGGTATCGTCTGACAGTGGCCAGCACCAGATGTTTCAGAGGAAGGTATATGACTCCAGCAGTAGGCAGATATGGAGTAATCTACCCCTCATGTTATGTTCCATCCTTTTCTCTAATAGCTAGAAATTGGCTTAACCCTGAAGCATGAAGTTTAGTAACTCTTTCACAAAATGCATCATTAATCATAACTCTGGATATTCTTGATATCTGTTTAAGTGTCCACTCCTTTTTCCACTATGAAAATGATTTTGAACTAAACATGTATTAATACATCCGAATGGCTATAGTGGTGCAATCATAGTCCAGAGATAAATAAAGCCCTGATCCAGAACAAAATAATTTGTGTCCTTATCATAAAGTGAGTCTGCGCAAGCTTCTCCCCTCAAAATACCTGCTTCCTGGTTTGGACAGTTACAGAGCTGCCCAGTGGGCAGGCAATTCATGCAAATGAGCAGAGTGCTCCTTGAGCCCTACAGTTCTTGATTTCTCAAGCCCTTGAATTCCCCCACTAGTGGCCACATTGAATGCTTTAGTTAATACAGCTCCAGGATTGTAGAAAATCTCCTACATGGCTGTATGTGAGAGACTCAGCAAGCTCAGAGACCAGGAAGTGGACTGAATTGGTTTTTCAAATTACCTAGGGCTCCCATGAGGGAGCTGTCATTCATCCTCACTGGCTGGAGGATGCTGCAGGGACCCTATTTCTTAATTCAGTAAACCTTGGGGGATAGTTTTATTATGTAGTGCACTTAAATATGCTATAGAAATTAAGTTTCATTAATAGTAATTGAATCACTGTCAATCCATTTTAGCTGTCTGTTCTGAACTAGTTAGTCTACAGTCCTTGCTGCTCTGTTACACATATTTAGGAATCATTCAGAGCTATGATAAAGAATAGCAGACCTTGAAATAAGGAAAATAAAAACAGACATGGAAGAAGCTACTGTAATCTGCAGTTGAAGAGTCTAGGTGTGTATTGTCTATAATCTATTAGCACCATGTTATGAGGATTGACTGCATTCAAAAGCCTTAGGCACAGCTGGTTTTCAGAGGTGATCCCTTTAAGTGCTAAATATTTTATTATGAAGTGCTACATCCTTCAACAAAGACAAAGAATATTAAACTTTCAAGGGTATATACTTTCAAAATCCCCAAACTTTCTGTGACTGAAGGAAAGGATTTGACAGCAGAGCACCCTTTCTCCTTGGTTTCTTTCTCTAATGATCCATGCTTACTTACCAATAAGAATGTCTTGAAAAAGTTATTGTTATGAACAGGTTCTCTTTCCTTTTGTCTTCCCACTTATTGAGGAAACTTGGTCAGTTAATTACCTTAATTAAAATGGTGGTATCATTTTCAATTGCAGCCTTTCCATATGTTGGATGTGGTAACAAAGTAGGGAGGAATATTTTTCCCTGATCCTACAGCTGCAACAGCATACAAGTATAATAAAAAGCCTAGGTCTGGCCACAAAAGAATTCCCCCAGCACAGAAACTATAAAGCCTCTTCTGCATGTTCCAATATAAGGGTGCACCAATATGGGGCTGAGGAAAAGACCAGATCCAGCACCATTACGATGATTCCACAGGGTGCTGCTGCCCATACACAGCTTGGCATGAGCTGTTGTAACATAGGTGGCACCTAAGGGCTACCTAAATTACATCCCATTTTGGCCCCTGAAGCAACCTAGAAGCAGAAGGGTAAAAAGGTGTCTTAAACCCTCTTAGTCAACGCACCTTCACCCCTCTTGGGCTGAGAGTTTTGTACCGCACTTCCCAGAGATGCAGCACAAGATCATACCTGTGTTTTTTCTCCAGTTGCGCAGGTTGCGTATGCTATAACTCTATTTATAACAAGATGACCTTCCTTAAGTGTCAAACCCCACACTCCCCTATGATTATAAGCCTCAATTTTCCTTTCTACAAAGGCTTCCACCAGTGCATTCCCATTGCTTGCAGATTGTTCAAAACTCAGCAGAACATTTGCTCTAGGCTTCAAGCTGTAACAATCATACTACAGCTGCCTTTTGTTCTTTATAATGGATATCTATTAAGCAGACGATTGACTTTAACTTGGCCCTATTGGTCTTTAAAGTTCTCCACAATGAGCTATTAAAGATCTCCTTTTACAGGCATCTCCCAACATAAGGCTTATAGGATCTGCCATTCACTCCCACATCCCAGCTGTCTCATCTGCTCACTCTTAACAGCTCCTACAAACCTCCTCTTCCCCGGGTGTTTTTTTTTAATCCTTCTTTCCCCCTTGGTGTGAGACAGCCCAGATTTATTGACTGTCACAGTATGCTGCAACGCTCATCTCCCCACCCCCTTCCCCCCAAGCTTTTCTGAGGGAGTGGGGTGAGATGGTCATTGGTGGTTTGATAGGGTTTCTTCATGATTGAGTGACAGGGACCATTTATATTTTGAGAGATGAAGTCAACTTTGAGAAGGATGGTTAAATGTTCTAATATGGTTATTTGTCCATTTATGTTTTTCTTCCGCTCTATGTAATGATATGAGCCCCATCATAATAGTGTCACAGAACATCACAAACATTAATTAATTTGCCCTCACAATATCTGTGGGAGGTAGGGAAGTATTGTTATTCCCATTTTACAGTCTGTGTCTACTGAACCTTAACTTCCTGAGTCCCAGTGGTCAAGTGCCTTAACCATAAGACCATCCTTCTGCCTTAAGAAATGTACGTACAAGTGCCTACAACCTTGAGTAGGTGCTTTTAAACAGTTCAATAAATATTTTTCCCATTTAAGATACCTCCCCATTGCTCTTTTAAGAGAGTGACTCAAATCACTTCCCAGAACATGTACTGTTTTCATGGCTCAGCAGCAGACAAAAACTCAGCAGCAGCCAGCCACAATGTTCCAGAAAGGAATTGATCTCACTCTGGCCCTGCAGCTCTTCTTATACTAGCTTACTTGGCCCTGATTAGCTGCTTCCCATACAGCCACTCTAGGCAGCTTGGAGGACCTCTCTACTGCCCTTTTCTGGGGTGGGGTGTGGCAGGGCTACAAGGCCTCTAGCAGACGGCCTCCAGACCCAGTCCACCCCATCACAGTCTTGCAGACTGGTGGATCACTGGGGCTGTTTCACTGACATCAACGTGGGATCGTCAGGGAATGTGCATGATGCATGCATCTTTCGGAACACTGGACTGTATAGAAAACTGCATGCTGGGACTTTCTTTCCAGACCAGAAGATTTCAAATGAGGGTGTGCAAGTGCCCCTAATGATCCTTGGAGACCCCACATACCCCTAGTTCCCATGGCTTATGAAGCCTTAGATCAGGAACCTAGACAGCAGCAAGGAGTGCTTCAACAACAGGTTCAGCAGGTGCCAAATGACCGCTGAATTTGCCTTTGGCTGATTTAAAGGTCGCTGGCGCTGTCTTTTTGTCTGGTTAAACATCAATGAAGAAATATTCTGATGATCATTGTGGCCTGTTGTACTCACCATAATATTTGCGAATCAAAGGGGGGAAAGTTTCCCCAGAGGTGCGCAGCTGAGGCTGATCGGCTGGCTGCTGATTTTGAGCAGCTAGATACAAGGGCAATTAGAGGGGCGCAGCAGCAAGCTATTGGAATCAGGGAGGCTTTGAAGGAGCATTTTGACAATGATTCCCAGTAATGTGTCTGTATGTGATGAATTCGGCCAGGCAATGTTTACTTGCCGCCATGAATTACTGCTGTAGTGCTTGCTTCTTGAGCATTAATTGCAAGGAATAAATGCCACTGTTTCAATGTTAGCACTGAGCGATGTATGTATGTCACAAGTGAAGAACCATTTTATTTCAAAGACTTAAGTTTTAATGGGATAAAACACAAACCTTTGGACAAACAGGGGACATGAAAATGAACAGTCTCATGGTTAGAGCTCTCACAGCTGGGTGTAATTCCAATTTTCACTGCAAAACCAGTCCTCAGGCTTGGAGTGCATGGAGTACTGTGGGGGACCGGAAACACATGATGAATGCAGTGGGGGAGTTTGAGGAGGGCATAGACCAGAGTTCTGTAGTGGCTGGAGCGGGAGTTGGGCACAGATTTGCACTGATTGCAGGCTAATGAGGGACTTCGACACCTCTGTCTAGTCCTCCAGGAGCTTTATCATCTGCTCCTGCCTGTGTCCTTTCCTGGCTATCCGGCCTCAGTATTTCACTAATTGTCTACACTGACGCACCGTCGCTCTAATTACACCACAAAAAGTTCTATGCAGCTTGTCACGGTGGTTTTATTATGTCAGCATAGCAGGGGAGTTACATTGGTGGGAGAGGCATTTCAGTGTGTACACCTCCAGTGTTTTGTCGACAAAACTTTGTAGTGTAGACAAGGCCTTAGTTTCTCTCACTGTGAATTGAGATAATACATGCCCTTCTTTGTAAAGCACTTTGACATCCTTGGATGAAAACTGGTATTTAAGAGCTAAGAATTATTAGTATTATAAATATTATTTATATTTACTTAGATTAGGAAAAGACAAACAAAAACAACGTCAGTCAGTGCTCACACAGCCTTACACTTCCTCACGTAAATACGTAATTAGGTAAAGAGAAAAGGGCAAGAAATATTGTTTACCCGAGAGAGACTGTAGCAGCCCTTTTGATGTCATTACAGCCTGCAAGCTAGACACATAATTAGGCAGTTTTTAATCATATAAGTGATAGGCTATTGTGCACCACATCATTATGGGTCCTATCATTCCCTAGCACAGAAAAGGCAGCCAGAGGAGAAAACTTACTCAGAAAAATTCTCTTTGGTCCACTGCACACAGCATTTGATGCATCATCTCCAGGGGGAGGGATCTGGGGCTGCACAAAGAGAGCAAGGGACTCGGCCATTCAACCGTGCAGGCACCCCCAATATCTACAGGGAAATCTGCATGCCTCAGGGCAGCCCTCAAAAAGCCAGCTACTCTATGCTGCTTTCCAGGTCTGTGCTTCCCCTGTCCCCCATGGCAGCAAGGTTCAGGAAAGTGCTCTGTTGCTGCAGAAGGGCTGTGCATGAACTCCCCCACACCCACCCATCCCTGTCCATTTCCACACACACTTTGAAGGAAGCAGATGCCATAGAGTGGGAGTAAATGTTGTAATGAGAACAGAATCTTAAAAGGGATACTGACCCCACCCTAGCTACTAATATGCATTGGGTCACTATAGTATCACATTGATAATTAATTGCATTGCATCAAAGAAACATGGATAGTGTATTCATGAAATGATATGTTTCACAAATCCAGGCGGCGATCACTACAGATCTGTCTATTCTGTTTATCCTGTCCCTGGACTACAGGTAGTTTGTCTAGCTCAGCTCAGCTTTAATTATTTTCACTGAATTACCAAGCATGCTTATTTGATCACAGTAATCCTTTTTGATGCATCATATATCATCTGATTTATGTTACCCACCATGCCAAGAGGACTCTGCTTCTGTCTTTCTTCCAAGCTTACATCAGAAAATACCACAGCACCACATATGGTTTCTCCAGCCTTCAGCATAAATTGCACAGCCGAGAGGATGTTTGGATATGGATGGTAGCAGACCTCACAAGCTGAAAGTGCTATGGCATGAAAAATAATTTTGTGAAAATTGTCTTCTTGTTGTTTTATAATTTATTCTGTTTGCCTTTTATTTATTATGTACTATTTAACTTCACTACTTTGCTGATGGAATCATTAGCAAATTTTCCACAGAGTAGATTTATAAATGTTGTGTGACCCCTTGTGGTAGAACATAATACTACAAGTATGATTCATAGATAATAGCTTATGTAACCCATGAGCTACATATAGTTGAAGTCTGAATTCTCCATGATGACTGAATTCCTAATTAACTAAGGCTAACTCTGAACAAGGTGAGGAGGCTCTCAGCTAACAATGAATCACAATGTAAACTCTCTTCATGCCAGTAATTCAGTGACTGCATTTATTTTTGGCTAACTCTGCATGGAAACCAGACTCAACTTTTGTAAACTAAAATGGAGCTTTAAAAAAAAAAAAACTATGTATATCCTTTGATAAGATCTGAAGCTCCATGATTAGCATTCACATGCTGACATCTGTACTGCAAATGGGATTTGATTCCTCTCAATAACAACACTTAGCACTGAAGAGATGGAGTAATGTATCGAGCCATCTGAATTCAGTTGCATTAAATAAAAGGGGTTTTGAAAGGATGTATAACCATCAGCCCAGTGGTTGGGTGAATGCAGATTTGACTTGCCTGTAAGCCAAAATATTGCTTACTGCATTACATTTTAAGAACTGGCAGATACAGGAAGTTCTGTTGTGAGAGTGTCTATTATATTTATGTGTTTTCTATAATTGACTGGTGTGGACAAAGCTTGTAAAATAAAAGCTGTCAGGAAAAAAGTGGGTAATCATTTTTTTTAAATCATCTGATTCTTTGTTCTTCATTTTGTGTATTGCTTGTGGCCATGACAACCAATTGATAGTAGCAAGACTGCAATACCTCTGCAGTCTTACTACAGCAGCAGCCTACTGATTCACTGCATACTGTGTGCATGCATGCTGAAAAGTCTGAAATAGAATATGAATACCTGGCATTAGATTAAATTTATCAGCAATGTCAGCATAACAAATAAGTGACAAGAGCCCAGTCCTATGAGTACTCACCCTTTCCACTGTCAATCTGTGTGAGTTGCAGGCACTCAGCACCCTGCAGGATTGGGCTGTATGTTAGCACCGTACCTGAGGGAAACTTAAGGCTTTTGCAATATCACTTTTTTCTATTTATAGCAGTGACCTCACCTGTTATCACCTAAAACATATGGTGCTATATAAGATTGCTTTTTAGTAAGGGCTTTACAGATAATTAATATTAATCACATTCCAAATAGGCTTTAAAAGATATGGATTTGATTCATGTATGTTTTAAAAATACTCAGCATTCCTGCTTATAAACAAGTATTTATTTGAGATCAGTCAATAGTCTTAAAATCACAATGTACTGTACATTTTTGGCATATGTATTAAATTGACTAATTACACAGTGATGCAGAGTTGCTCTGATTTTTCTTCCTTCTTCACCTACAGACCTCACCTTTTCTATTTTACCTCATTTAATGAGGCTAAATGTTGACTTCTTTGCATGCTTACTGATGCATATGAAACTCTCAATTCAGGTGGACAGTATTCCTAAGAATCAAATGGTAGTCTCTTGGGTGCAGCACAACGTGAGATAGTCACTTAGGTCACTTCCATTTCCCAAATTAGTAGTTAAAAGTCATTTTAATGTTGTTTATATAGCAAATATACAATGTTCTACCTTTTAAATCTGTATGAAGCCTATATGTATGTTCTCCAGAAGTCTCCAGGTGACCACACAGGTGAAAAACAAGGAGCCTTAAAAAGACCAAAAATCCAACCTGTCAAAAGTAAGTACAACAAATATTTTTATATCATGCCATTCACAATAGATGTATAAATACCACCTTTGGATTATGGGTCTTATTCACCACTGCCCTCCTCCACTTGAGCAGTGATATAACTCCACTTGTATAGGATGATTTAGTTGGGAATTGGTCCTGCTTTGAGCAGGGGGTTGGACTAGATGACCTCCTGAGGTCCCTTCCAACCCTGATATTCTATGATTCTATGAGTTACACCAGCATGAAACTGGATTAAGAGAGTGCTAAATCAGATCATATCTTCAGATTTCACACATATGGCGCAATAATGAATAACTCTTGTCTTGTGTTTTGCATTCACTGTATATTAATGGTACATAGTAAATTAATAACACTTTGGCACTTGTATAGGGTTTTCTTTTGGGGGGGGGGGGGGCTGGTGAGAGAAGATACATATCCTCAGAATTTTCTTAGTGTAAGGGAATGAACACACTTTGTGAACTAAATTCCTCCAATACTGAGGACAGATTTGTTTGAGGAAACAGAAATAAGGAAAAATTACACAAAACCAAAGAAAACTCAACCCAGTATGATGATTCTATGGTTACAATGCCAATCAGGAGAACCATGGAGCTCTCATCTTTGTCAACAGTGCTGCATGGACCAGGCCCTGCAGTGGGAGTGTTAGGGCAAAAACACTCCATCAAGGAGATCCCATGTGAAATGTGTGGGCATTTTAGTAGCATCCATTCTGCAACTGTAGAGCTAGATACTACATTTGATAGCTTACAGTTTTTAGATGGTGGCTTTGATAACTTAGAGGCCAAGCTAACAGAAGCAGAAAAAGCCAACAAAGCATGTGAAAAGAAACGAGAAAGCTAACAGCCTCCATGCAGCCATCATTAAAGAAAATAAAATGTTAAACAGATTGCAAATCTTGGAAAATCATTCAGAATTTAAAATGTCAGAATAATTGGACTCTCTGGAGCAGCTGGAACAACAATCATATTGCTTTTTTTGGAACAGTGGGTTCTGAATATATAGCAGTTGGATTTAGCTAAAGATCCGAGAAGAGTATTTTGAAAGATCATATAGAATTAAAATAAGGGCTCCATTTAAGACCCCTGAGCAAGATGCAGAAAGAGCAATCATATTTACTGTGGCAGATGTATGTGACAAAGAGAGAATCCAGGCAGTACCTAGAAAAATAATAGATGTGTTCTATTTAAAAAACTTGAAAGTTTGTTCTTCCCAGATATAAGCCTCTGAAAACGCAAAAATGAGAAAATTTGTTTTATATAAGAAAAGTGTTTGAAGCAGCTATCCTTCTCGTGGCCAAACTCCCAGACAGACACTAAGGAGAAAACATGTATTTTGGAACACCGAATCAGCACAAAGTTGCAAGTAAGTAAAGAGATTGCACAAGGATGCTAAGACAATACAGGACACTTTTGTATTTCTCTATGTCTTCGTAGGGTTTTTTGTTTGACCAGGATCAATACCTGGAAGCAGTGCACAGCCAGGGGGAAAGCCAGAGGTAAGATCAGGGAAGTGTCATTGGGATTGGCTCCTCACAGACTTCTAGGTACTTTCTTCTGATTTGTGTTTTTACTTTCGATTATGTAGCTTAACTGCAGATGACTGATTTTGAGTGCGCGCGCACGTGTGTGTGTAGGGCCTTTTAGTTTTTGTAACCAGACAACCCCTAAAGGTTAAAAGCATTTGCAGATCTGGATGGCTAAAACTTTGCTCAGATGCTGAAGCTACAAATGGCCTGACCTTGCAGGTCCTAGGCAGGCTATGTAGAGACTGCAGGGTCAGACCTTTAGGGCTTGAGTTCTCTCTCACAACAGTTTGTCATCCATGTAATTCCATCAGCTTCCAGAGAGCTGCTCTTGATTTACACCAGTAAAAGTGAGATCAGACTCATGCGCCATTGAATGCTCAGATACTCCATAACAGTTAATGCCAGTTCTGCTTCCACTCAAGTCAATGAGAAAACTCTCTGACTTGAGTGGGAGCAGGATTGGGCCCTTAATGGGCCCAATCCTGTTTTTTTGTTTTTGTTCAACCAGAATCCTGTCAGTCATACAAAGAATTTCACAGAATGAATGGGAGATCCTGCTTTCGCATAGAAAATGGGAGAGTGAGAATATCTCCCAGTTTCCAAGGGAGCTACTTAAAATGTACATTACTAAAACCAAGGAAACATCCTAGGAATTTCAACTTTAAATCAGCTCAGCTAGTATGCTCATTGTTTACTTCATAACAAATACTAAAAAGAGACCCTGTCAGCTTGTTTAGGGCCCAAAATGTACCTTCCTTATAATAAGATAAATCTTCTGCAGCATCCCTGGTGCTTTTTATTGGAAAAGAATTTAATGGGAGGAAAAGGAGGTTTAAATCAAACAAATATTGGCCCTGATGCTCCACTCTTACAGAAAAACCTACAAGAAGGAGGTAACTACTACTGAAATTCTACAAGGCTTATCTTGCAGCACTGCACACATGCATCCCAAAAGGAAGCGATTTGAGATCTAAGGAAATGGCCAGAGGTGCATTCTGCAAATATAGGAATCTCAAAGATCCACAGGGAAAGCAAAGCACTATGCTAAGAAGAACCTTTGATTATCTCTGGAAATGGCTTATCCTTCCATAGTGCTTGGTGGATTCCCACACTACTGGAAGTTTTAGAAATATTTTGTCCTGTCATAGTAAATTTATCACAAAATTCTGCATTGTCCTGGTGCAGACAATTCCACAAACTTCTTGCATAATATAGGTCCCAACAGTCACAGAGTACATGAGGCACTGGCTATTGTTAAGACTGCAAAACAGCTTCAGTTGAAACTGTCCATTTTCCAAATAAAACATTCTGTGGGGGCTGAAATTTTCCATGCTCGATCAAAGCTGGAAAATGATTTTTTCAAGTTTTAGTTAAAATCTGTTAAATCTGATTTGAAGTATGTGATATAACAAATACGCTTGTATATTGTATATTTTATTGTCTTTGCCATGCTTTATTGCCCCAAGCAGATAGCTTAGACATGGGTGAACATTAAAACTTCACATGAATGTAAAAAAAATTCTCTCTTTTCCTGCTCATGTAACTAAAAGATGGCAGAATCAATTTTGTTTAAACTTTCCAAAATAATTAACAATTTAGTTTAAACTAGAAATATGGAGAGTTTCAGAAGTCATAAGCCATTGCAAGAGGGGGTTTATTGCCGGACTCCTGCAGCTTGTTCTAATCTATGGCATATCAGGTTTTGAGAGTGGGAGAGCATTTTCTAATAGTTCAAACTGCCTTCAAAACAGGTACATTATTCCTTGTTGTGGTAGAAGAATTGTATGGGGAAAAAGGTGGTAAAACATACCCTCCTGTCAGGTAGCTATTTTGGCCAAGTGAGAGTGAAAGTAATGTTTAATCTGCAGAAACAGGTCTGGTCTACACTAGGGGGAGGTATTGATCCAAGATACGCAACTTCAGCTATGCGAATAGCGTAGCTGAAGTCAAAGTATCTTGGCTTGAATTACCTGGGGTCCTCATGGCGCGGGATCGATGGCCGCAGCTCCCCTGTCGACTGCGCTACCACCGCTCGCTCTGGTGGAGTTCCGGAGTCGACGGTGAGCGCGTTCGGGGATCGATATATCGCGTCTTAACGAGACGCGATATATCGATCCCGGATAAATTGATTGCTACCCGCCGATATGGCGGGTAGTGAAGACGTTCCCAGAGTGGGGACACGTAATAGAGCAGTAGAACAAATGCTAATAGAGAATGGTATTTAATGAACAGTCCTCCACATGTATGCTGTGTGGGATCAATTTCCTAACAGAGCTGTGCAAATACATGATTTTTTTTTGTTTGCTGGCAATTCCAAAAAATTCAAATTAAAAAAATTTGTTTCAAGTTGACCCAAAATGAAATTTTTCAAAATTTTTGGCAAATATAAGTCATTTAGATTTCAAGTTTTTTATAATGCTTTTAAATATTTTCTTGATGAAATTGAAGGAAATTTCAATACAAAAAGTCATTTTGAATTGGAAAATCAAAATGTTTCATTTCAAAAACATTAAAAATGAAACTTTTTTTTCCTTACGGTTGTTTTTTTTTAACCAAAACCATTCAGTGAATTTGACACAAATTCATACAGTATTTTGGTCAACCTGAATGTGCATTTTCTGCCAAAAAAAAACAACCCCAAAACCTGCAGTCAAAAAAATTTCACCTGGCTTTAGTCTTTAATTTCATCCATATTGTACAGTTTCAATAAGGATTTCAGTCTTTATGAGAGAATAACACTTTATGTTTCTGGGTTGTGACTAACTGAAATATTGTTGTAGAATGAAGAATTACCACATCAGTAACTTTTGGAAGTGGTTTCTAAGAGGTAAAGAGGAAAGAGGTATAGTACTGACACTCAAAACTAGACCATTAAATAGTGATGTATCAGCTAAGTCTTAAATTATACTAGAAGTTTACACTATTTACTCAGCTTTTAGAAGAGATTACTCTCATTTGGATTATTCCCATTTGGGTTGCCTCAATTTCATCCTTTTTCTTAGGGCAAGTCTACGCTACAAAATTAAGTTGACCTAAGTTACGTCAATGTACAGCCACCATAGTAATTAAATTGCTTTTGCATGTCCATGCTATGCTCGTTGTGTCGGCAGTGTGCATCCTCACCAAAAGCGCTTGCACCGATTTAACTGTCAGTGTGGGGCATTGTGGGACAGCTTCTGAAAGGCAGCAACAGTCAATGTAAGCAACACATTGTTCTCACTGACACTGAGTCGACTTAACTACATCGACCTAAGCACTACATCTCTCGTGCAGTTAAGTCAGTGCAGTGGGCAAGTTACATCGGTCGGAGCTACATTTTAGTGTAGACACTTAGAGTGTTAGATAGACATAAGCTGCCTTATGTCAACCTAACTCTGTAGTGTAGACCAGACCTCATATGCATAACTCTCATGGTGGTGCACTAAGACTATGTGACCTAGCATGCTATATCTCGTTAATTATAATCCAGATGGGAGAATAAAGAGTTTGCATAATTTAACAAGATATTCTGCAAGAATATTACTAATATTATGAGAAAATCCAAGTTAACAATATGCATTATGAACAAAAAATAGTCTTTTATCTGTATTTTATACTCTCTCATTACATACTCTGGGAAAAATTAAACTGCATTTTCCTAATCTCTCATTTTGGACTTCCCAGAAATCACGTATTCAGAGATACAGAAAGTTAAGATCAAACTAAATTATAGAACAAGCATACCACAAATAATATTAGAAAACATTACAACGTTTTAGGTCTTGTGACAAATTTAGTCAGCTTCTGCTCTCATTTATAGTGGTATAAATCCAGTGTAATGTCATATATTTCATAGTGTCGATATACAACAAAAAATAAGTAGGTGAATATATACCACATATACAGATATTAAAAAAAAAAACACTAAAAACTACTTAAAAAAATATAACAAACCTTTGATAACTTGATTTCACTGGAGTATAAATAAGATTTCTGTGCCGCATCACAACAAATCCTATACAAAATGGATTCAGCGATGAAAAATAAAACAGGGACATGCTCTGGATTCATGGGAGCATGGTCCAAAGAAATTAAAAGGATGTCCAAAGCTTCTGAAGTGAAAACAAAATGGAGAATAAATTCAATACAGAGTTCAGTCTTTAGGGCTCAATTCACAAAGGGATTTAGGCTTCGCAGCACCTAACTTTTAGGAGCCTGGTCAACCAGTGGTAATGACAGCCTCGAGTTAAATACCCAAGTACCCTATACAAAACATGGGGAGAGTTAGGCACATAACAATGGGATCCACAGAAGCCAGCATGCTGAGTAGGGTAAACTAGCCAATAGGAAATCCCAAGGAGAGGAGTATGGCCTAAGCCCCACACTCAAAGGGAGTTAGGCGCCTAAGTCAAAGCTTTATTTTCACAGTTAATTCAGTTTGTTTGCCCCCTGTGACTATTATTTTGAGGAGAAAACAAAGCTCAACTGTCTGATAATCTGTATTCAACAGCTACTGACATTTTCTGTTAAAGTATGTATTGAAATATATGGTACAAAACTGTCTGAATTAATAATGTTAAACTAATTAACAAGAAGTATAATGTAAGCTGTTTCTTGAGATGTAACACATTTCAGAAAGTTTCTACAGTGTCAACTTTTCTGTCATTTTTTGCTAGGTGTGTTGATCTTTTTTGTGATATCAATGAAAATGACCGTACAAAACTATAGTGGAAAAGATAGAATTGCTTTTTATGGTTGAAAAGGCAGTTAAATTGCTTTTTCAAGTATTACGTTTTTTAAAAATTACATGATGGCTTTGTTCAATTTTGGTTAATGATTTGTGTGAATCTGATGCTCATGAAAGTGACAGATTTATAGATCTCATAGGTAAAGTTTAAGCCAGGAAGTCACTATGCAAATTTCCTCAAACATGCCTACCAATGTGCCTCAATCTTGACTTAAAATTCCCTGCTTTGTCTGCCAACTTTCAAAGTCTGTAGGAAGAAGAACTTCCCCTAACCTCCCCACAAATCCTGCAGGCAGGAGTGAAACCACAGTCCCAAATCTTCCCAGTTCAACACTTCCTCTTCCCCATCTTGATCATCCACACGTTATATGATTAAAGGATCAGTCTTTGTCCAACAAATTTCCCAGCCTCCTCCACTTGTCCAAAAATAGAGGAGGAGGAGGAGGAGGAATACTGATGGTGCCGTAGCACGTAGAGGTCTCAACTGGGTTGGGAATATATTGTGCTAGGAACTGTACAAACATTTAGTAAATCACAGTCCTTGTCCCAATGAGCTTACAATCATATATATGTATTAGTTCCATCCTAGTTCCCGAGCTGATGTGCAAAATTCTTAAAAGTCCTTTTCCTCTCCAAAATAATAGCATGGAAAAAGATAAATATTTTATTTATTAATTATGCAAAAGCCTTTTCTCCATGCAACCAGTAAAAACAATGTTCTTTTATTATTTATTGAATGCTCATGCCTGCACAAAACAGAGGTCCCTGCCTCAAGGAACTCCATGAGGGCATAAGGGTCAATATTTTTGAATCCTGTTGCATGATTGTGGCCTAAACAGACAAACAATAGTATTCAGACACATAGTTTATCAATTGACCAGAATATGGATTTATCATTAAGTGGTGAAACTACTGTATTATTATTACTTTTTAAATAATCAACAGTTTGTTGTTGGCAGGTTGATATTGGTAGACTGCTCCATAGAAGTAATCTGAACTAAAAGAAGGATTCTTGACCCTCCAGAAGAAAAAGGTATCCACATATTATCAACACAGTATTCCTTCACAACTGTAATAGCTCTTTGAAAGATAGGCCTTTCAGAGCAATTACAAAAACCCGTTCCACAACCTTATCAAACCATCCACTAAAAAAAATCTTGTGTCTCCCAATACTACAGTAGAATGCACAGTACTAGAACCCCTAAAATTCTGATAATTCTTACATTCAGCTTGTATTCCAAATTATCAGTCATTTTTAACAATATGATCTTTGATCAACTGACAGCTCAGTTCTTTGTTCCACACCCCTGTAAGTTTTATAGCTCTCAACATTTTTTTTCCAAGTCACTGATAGTATTTTGTATACTATCTTCTCAAACTTCTCATTTCTGGAGGAGATAATCTTTGGCAAAGCATATAAAGACAAATTCATCCCTGGCTTGTCTGGATTGACTTTAATTGGGTTACATGATGGTGCGTCTGGCTCACTAACTATTTATTTGATTACTGAGTGTAAGCAACTCCATAACTTTGTGAATATTATCTTCTTAAAACAGTCTAGTCATCATTATCAAACTCAAATGCACATGATTTTTAGAGGTAAAAGTGTATGAAGAGAAATAGACACTTTTCAATCAAGTGCCTTAGGCTTCAGCATCTTACTCAAACCCTGTAAATTATGAGAGAAATAATGTTTAGGTCAGCCCAAAATCACTTAACAAGAAAAGAAAAATGAAGAATTGCAAGATGATGAGGATAGAACTCTCTGCACACCCATCTATTTTGATTTGTTCCCCATTAGAGTACTTGTATTCATAGTACAATATCCACAAACCCCCCAAGAATTCCCAGCTTAATAAAAGCAACACAAGATTATATAGTAGTCTTGATATTGCTTTCACAGGCACACTATTGAATTGTTTCCTTTTCCTTTGTAGATTTCCTTTTTCACATGAATACAATCATTAGCTCAAAGTACACTGAAAAATCCAACACCTACAACTAGAGACCTTCTGATCATGATCCGAGATTGCAGTAAATGTAGAGAATGTTTGCACACATTCCCCCACCACATCCCAGGATTTTTGACAGGCAATATCACTCCACCACCAGACTTATTTAAATGAGGTCTCATTTTACTTTTGGAATGACCCCATACATTTAAAAAAGAGCAAGAGTACCATAGCATCTATAAAATAGGAATGGAATGACTTTGCTTTGTCCTACACATCAGCAGTGCAGACTGTAGATCACAGATGTTGCACATACACTCGTTCATCATTTCTGTTTCAAATATGCAGGATTGCATGATTCTCTCTTTAGCCACTCTACTGCACTTGCTCTCCAGCCTGGCCAGAAAAGCTAAGGTATGTGTGATGATTATGGATTTAAACCTACTTGCCAGGAAATTATTTTCATAAATCTTATTCTAGCTAAAATGCTATCTGTCAGTAAAAAAAAGTGAAAATACCTTTGTGTCCATGCAAGAGTCTGTATAGGATCCTCTCTTTACCTGACTTTACTAAGGAAGGGCTACCACAATTAAGAACATTTTAGATTGAAACAAGTTAACATTTTCATTTAAAAAGTCTTCAGAACTAATTCAATATTCTGCAATTTTATTAATGGGCATAATTAGGAAAGGTAAAAACAAGAGGTTATTTAAAGCACTTTACTTTGAGATCATTAAATGTCATTTTAAATTACACTTAATTAGTTACTGATTTCAGAGACAGGTTACAAGGTAATGTCATGTAGAGGTGCTTAAATGGTAATGATTTTGCAATTTAAGAAATCAAGCATAAAAACAGAGGTCTCTGAAACACTCTGTAAATACTACACTGATAGTTTCTGTATATATTTGTAAAGTTTCTTTCTGCAAGTGGAAAATAAAATCCATATTTGTCTTGGCTTTTTTCCAAGTTTTCATAGTTGGGAATAAACTAAATTTGCTTTCACTGCTTGGTTAGAAAAGTCTTAAAGTAATTAACAGAAATATAACTGAAGAATACTGTACCTTCCTGGATTTCACCTTTGCATTGAGCCAATATAATTGCTTCTGTCCATGCTACTGGAAGATCCACATGCTTCCCAGAACCTAATGTGCCAAGGCCTGATCTTCTCTGTTTGGAAGGAACAGGGTGAGAGGGGAAAGAAAAAAAGCCAAAGGTTTTTTTCCTTACATTTAGCTTAAAATAAAACTTTTCCCTCAAGCCAATTTATTTGGAATAAAAATGCTTATTTTAAAGGCATCATTGGTAAGAGTTTGCTGATACAAACACAATAGCAGAAACTAATGAGGCAGCAATGCTTAATCCCTGGGGTTAACACTTAATTAAGAATAGGAATACTTAACTATAATTACAGTATTATCACCCATTTTAAGTGCCTTGAATCAAAAACAATTAATTACCATCTCTGAATCACAGTAGTGACTCCAGCCAACTTAGTACAAGGACACTACTATTACTATCTCTGTAGGGCTGAAATTGATAGAGAATCAACAATATGCTATCCTGACAATATACCTCTCTGAAACTTTAGCTTTTTGCAAATTCCACTCTTTCTAGATCAAAACAATCTTTTCAACAGATGTCAAGTATCAGAGGGGTAGCCGTGTTTGCTGCTTTTACAGATCCAGACTAAGAGTCCTGTGGCACGTTATAGACTAACAGATATATTGGAGTATGAGCTTTCGTGGGTGAATACCCACTTCGTCGGAGGCATCCGATGAAGTGGGTATTCACCCACGAAAGCTCATACTCCAATACGTCTGTTAGTCTATAAGGTGCCACAGGACTCTTTGCTGCTTTTTCAACAGATGCCTTTTTATGGAGGGTTTCATAGCCAAAATGTTGGGACATTTTTGCTCACCTCTTTTGGTTAAACAAGAAAAACATATAGTATATTACATCTGATTTTCATAACATTTTGCATGCATTTAGCTCTTGGGATAAACAATAGAAAAACATTTTATTTGAACATTCCTTCCCTTAGATTCCCTTCTACATTCTAGCAACTGATTGCAACTGGTAGTATTCATTGGCTTTCTGTACAAATAATTCCATTGTTTTTGCCATTAAAATTAGCCTTTCTCATCTAACCCAAATAGAGCATTGGCACACCAGTGAAGGATGGAAAGGCAACAGCTTTTGGACACTGGAGGTGACCGAATTAACACAATTAGTAAGTGCGCTAAGCTGAGGCAGTTTTCCAGCTCTGCCTTCCTGTTCACTAGTGTTAAAGGAGGATGCATCTTTACCACTGTCAGGGTAAGTATTCTTCTGGAATTGAAAAAAATCCAGAATTAATCTGATCAAAATAGAAATCTGTACTCCAGCACAAAATCAGCCAAATCTCACTAACATGCCTCTATGTGAGTACCAGTTATAAAAGGGAGAGGGAGGAAAGAGGTTTGGAAAACTGTTAGCCAATGCACCTTTCCTGCCAAGTAGAAGGTCCATTAAAAAAAAGATAATATTCATACTGAAAGTCCATGATTTGCAAATAGGGCCTAAGTGTACTTCATAATGTATAAATTTTTAATTTGGATGGTAGCAGAAATTATATTAGCACCACAGCCTCCTCTTTAAGGCCTATTAAATGCCAATTATATTGCTTTTTTAATATCTTTCAAATTTGAATGGCCACTCTGTTTCTACACTTTATCTATTTTTGGCTTAGTAAGCCCACAAGGAATCATTTAGGGGTCTCAGAGTGTTGTGTTTACTATTTTCACTTTTCAAAACAGTTGCCAACATTTTAATGGACAAAATAAAATGAAACATGAAAACATGTCAGAACAGCATTCCGGCTAAACAGCTAATCACTGAATATTGCTAAAAGTTCTCTTGAAGAAACTTAAAACAGGTCCATTCAGCTATAAACTAGTGAAAAATCTGTATAATATTCTCCTGATATATTCTTTTTTACAAATGTTAAGCAATGAGAAGAGACCTAGGGCCAGTTGATCAACAGAGTACTATATACAAGCCCTTATATTGGCTAACTTAATATATGTTACAATACACATTGAGAGCATAGATATTAAATATTACATTTCACTTATACTTTCTAATTGTTTCTCTCATTCCCCACAATCCTTTCTCCCAACAAAAGTTTTATCTTTGTTTTTTTTAATAAAGAAAATGGAGCATGCAAATGCCATAATAATAAAAATATAAACTGTCCCTTATTGTGTACACAAACCTTGCATCTGGCAAGCATTTTCTTAGCTAGTTCTAGTAAGTCTTCTTTATCCTGTGGATTTGTTGCATCATTGAACTTCTGAATGAATTTTTCTGTGATTTCCAAGGGGTTTCTAAAGATATATCCAAAAAATCCTTGCAGTTATATGTTTCATTTCCTAAATAATAAGGTTCAAAGTACTATAAAAGAGTCCAAAGAAAGAATTACTTTAAAGCAAATTTTAAAAAGTAAAGGCATGGTATGTCATTTTTCTAATAAAAAAGTTAGTGTACAGTATCAATCTTTGCAAACTGTTTTACCTGAAGGCTGCTCTAATTTATGCTGGATTTTAACAGGAATAGGGGGTGCTTAAAGTTCAGCCAAAGATTAGCATTGTACAAGGTTGTCCCAGCCACGCACTCACTTCAGTAATCACACTGGCCTTATAATGGGAGTTTTGCCATTGACTTCAATATGGCTAGGACTGCATTCACACTTTTTTCCCTAAAAAGAACAGGAGTACTTGTGGCACCTTAAAGACTAACAAATTTATTTGAGCATAAGCTTTCATGGGCTACAGCCCACTTCTTTAGATGCATAGAATGGAACATATAATAAGGAGATATATATACATACGAACATGAAAAGGTGGAAGTAGCCATATCAACTCTAAGAGGCTAATTAATTAAGATGAGCTTTAATCTGCAGGAGAAGAAAAACTTTTACACTGGCAGCAGGGAGGTCAGTGGCATATAAGCCTCTATACCTGCAGTTGGGAGGTGTAATTCCCAGCTCGGGTAGACATACATGGACTTACTCTACTCAAGCTAGTGCACTAAAAATAGCAATGTGGTCATGACGGCATGGATGGCAACTTGGGCTAGCCACCTGAGTACACACCTAAGATCTTGGACAGGATTGTACTTAGGTAGCTAGCTCAAACTGTTGCCGGTGCCACCACAACCACACTCTTATTTTTGGTGAGCTAGCTTAAGCAGAGCTAGCGGCTGGGAATTACACTTCCCGGCTGCAGTGAAGACATATCCTTATATACTGGGGTGATTCCTTGTGGGTTGGTTAAACTGGTTTTATGATCATGTTAAACCAGCAATGTAGTGCAAAGTGTTGTCTTCTCAAGACTGCAGAAGTCCAAAACAATAGCTCTGAAAGAGGTGTGAACTGTTCCTTTCATTTTGCTAGAGTTTTGACTTTGCAACCTACCAAGGACAATTAAAATTACAGCATTATAAACTATTTCACTGCTGATCAGTTTACCAAGTATCCACCAACAGACACCTTCCACAATCTCATTTTAACGTGCCTAGTGTGGTTGCGGTGCAGCCCAGCGCTCTAAAAAAACCACCTCCATAAGAGGCGTAGCTCCCAGCGCTGGTGCACTGTCTACACTAGCACTTTACAGAGCTGAAACTATCTGCACTCAGCGGGGGTGTTTTTTCACACCCCTGAGCAAGAAAGTTGCAACGCTGTAAATTGCCAGTGTAAACAAGCCTTCAGACTGCCTCCTATGCCTTGTGATGTTTCAAAAACCACAGATGTCCTTTGCCTAGCTGCCACAATCCCTGGCTTCCTTCCCTGACAACTTCTACAATGCAGCTATATATCATCAATACACAATTCTGCACAACAATAAATATTTTAAATGTATGGACAGCAAAAGAAATTGCAATTTTCTCTCCTATGAAATAACACAAGGGATACTGCAACCAGTGCAGTATTCTTTTTTTTTTAATTCAATTAGAGCCTCAATTTTTAATTTAAATGAAACTGCTGTACAATTTCCAGTGTGCCACAGAATTTAAGTTGAGCTTGTGCAGAGTACTCAGGGCCTTGGCAGTCAGCAGTAGGCATGCTTAGAAAACAGTGAGTTGGCATCAGCAATTAAGCAAAAAGGAGAATTAAAATGGATGTCTACAAGTTAAAGAGACGAGGTAATATCTTTTATTGGATCAATTTCTGTTGGCAAGAGAGAGAAGCTTTTATGCTTTCACAGAGTTCTTCACAGTTGCAACAACACTGCATCTATCATTAAGTTAAGGCAGGCAGTAATTAACCAGTAGATGGCAAACATATCTAAGGCGGTAATTTCAATATGAATCTACTAGACAGAAGCATATGACATGCCTTCGGATTACAGTAATTTAGGTGAGTGCCCAGACTGGACATCCCCAGGATATGGGGTGCACAGTGATGGCACAAAACCACCTTCCCCGCCTCATTCCCCATTTCTTGTCCTGCACTGAGTTCAGCTTGGCCAAACCAGAAAAACTGGGCCCGTGTATTTTTTTTTTACTTCTGGTGATTCACCAATGTTATACAAGCTGATTTACAATTTAGAAACAAATCTGAGCCTGGGTCAGTGTATTGGCTACAAAAAACCCATACAGGGTTGACCTAAAGCCCATGGAATCTTTCCATTGGATCAAGCCCATAGTTACAATCCTACCTGGGTTGGGGGATGAATAAAAACTAACATGGTTTTTCCATCTCTGATTTCTATGATTCTGTGATACAGAATACACATCAGAAATAGAAAGTACTGTGAGATTAGCCATAGCATTTCAGCTTTCCTCACGTGGTGGAAAAATGTACATTACATTTTATTCAACCTCGGAGGAAGGTCCCAAGGCAAAATCATCCTCTCTGATCTACTTTTCTATTTCTAGTATATATTTTACAAATAACTTATGCCTTATCAATTATTTTACACATAATAACTGCACTCTGTGATGCATTATTGAAAAGATAGAAGACTGCTCATTTGTAGCCTTATGTGTAGAAGTTGAACTGCTTAATTGGATGCTTCTTACAGTCTGCGACAGCTCATCTTAATGAATATTTAATGGCAAAGTAATGTAGCTATTTTTAACCAATAGCTGACTGGTGCAAAAAGGAAGTCTTTCTAAATATAGGCATTACAGACAGAGCATTACAGACAAGAAAGAAAAAAAAACAAGCAGCTAGGCAGCAAAAACTATCAGCTCTAAAACGTTACTAACCACTTCTGTTCTTTAATCAGTGTAAGGACCAATTAGGAGACTATAATGCTACCGAAGCACTGCATAAATAGCCAGAGCTTAGATTGAGAAACATTGATGATAAAAAAAAAGATTTATTTCCTGTTACTCCTGTGGTTTACAAAATATCTACATATTATTTGTCCACATAATTCTTAAAGGAAAAATTATACAATTACCAAAGTTAGGATAACCAGTATTCTCTCTCCCTATCTTTCTTTCTCTGTATTTTGTTCCCTGCTTCCTTTTTTGTAGCTGGTTCTTTCATCCAATGTATCTATTGCTCTCCGCTATTCATCTTTCTCTGCGTCTGTTACTCTCTCCACTTTCTCACACTTCACTTTCTTCATTATCTTGGGCCAAATCCTGACCCCCTCACTCACTTGTGCAGTCCCACTGAAGTCAACCGAATGTTTCTAATGAGTCAAGCAGGCATTATTTGGCTCCCTGTCAATTTCCTTTCCTCTCTTTTTCTAAGGTCAAGCTAGTACCTGCAACATGAATGGAACACAGGTCCATCTATAGTCAGAAAACAGACAGTGGCTAAAAATGGTTATCAGCAACAAATTCCCCACCACTCACCTCAGTTAGGCTTGGTCTACACTACCCCCCTAATTCGAACTAAGGTACGCAACTTCAGCTACGTGAATAAC